CTCTCTCTCTCTCTCTCTCTCTCTCTCTCTCTCTCTCTCTCTCTCTGCTTCCTGTGATAACTGTGAACCTCTGTGTCGTTTTTCCAGATCGGCTACTGGAACGAGTTCGAAAAGTTTGTATTTATAATGGATCAGCAGGTCACCAACGAGTCCTCCTCTGTGGAAAACCGAACAATTGTGGTCACTACTATTATGGTACTCACTCTCAAACAGATTCTAAGTGTTTCATCTTAAGATTTCTGCCACTCAAGGTCAAGGTGTCCAACGTTGCAATCTGTCCTGGGAGGGTAGAATTATTTTGTTTTCTGTTGCTTTCCATCCACTCACTACATGTTGAAACAGTCGACTCACAAGAGTGTTTCAACTGTATCCGTGTGGGTGCCAAAGCATTTTGGTTTTTTTATATTACAGTGGGCTGTTGTAGTAGTGACGTCACAATAACGGCTTTGGTAAAAAGATAAACTATAGAGATAGACACCATCGTATTCACGTTGAGTAAGTAAAAATATTTCCGTCTCATTAAGTAATCTGTCAGCGACGCCAGTTCACAATCAGATAAAATGTTCTGCAAACACAAAACATTCTATTCTATTCTTCTAGCTTTCTAAACCATAGGCTGAGAGTAAACAGGTTAGTTAGACACAGTCAGGTTAGAAATCATCAGCCATTCTTAGATGTAAGATAAGGTGCGCCTTATCTTACATTTAAGATCATGGCTTCTCCTTCCTTCTGACTTTGTCTATTGTGTCTGCATCTTAGGCAAATTCAGAATGTAATAGTCACGCATTCCCATTTTAACGTCTGGAGACTCATTTTTTCATCTCTGCTACAGTAAGTACAGCGAGACAGCGGTGATATCTTTGTTTGTTACAGTGATGGGCAGGCGGGCCTTGAACTGGGATGTTTGCAGATGACACTGTGGTGTTTAGTGAGAGTAGAGAGCAGGTGGAAGAGAGCCTGGAGAGGTGGATGTTTGCTCTGGAGAGAAGAGGACTGAAAATCAGTAGAAGCGAGACAGAATGGGACAGGTGCAGTGGTGAAACTGTAAGGAGTAGACGCATCAAGGTGCACTTGTAAGTCCAAGGACTCCAAAGAACTTCAGATTTCAGTCGTTTACTCATTCTTACACAGCTGCCCTGTAGACTGACAGATGCGACGCTGCCATGCACGGGCATCAGCGGACCCTCTGACCACAGGCGAGGCGGGTGACGTGATCGAGGGTTCGAAATGGCAACCCACCAATTTACAGGCCAAACCCCTACCACCTGAGCCACTGTGCCCCCAAACTGGATGAGTTTTGTTTGATGAGGTCAACATGAGAGACGACAGTAGAGAGGTGAAGAAGAAGGTGCAGGCAGAGTTTAGTGGATGGAAACAAATCAGCGGCGATTACTGACAAATGTTTAGAAGCTGGTTGAGAGACCTGCAGGATGTATGATTTGATTGATTGGTTCAAACTTTCATTGGGAGCGATCTCAGTGGTTCAGAAAGATGATATTATAGAGGCAGCTTGGGTTTTGGAGACAGTCGGAGGCTGAAGGTGGGAATATTAGATGATGGATGTTGAAGTTGAAGCAGCAAGGGTGGAGAAAATGAGGAAGACCACAAAGAAGAATCAGAGGTGGATGCTGGAATAGATGGATGTAGATGATCCTTGCCATCATTTAGAACAAGGAAGGACAAATAGTTTCGTCATAGCATTATTTTCTGTCTGACATGCTTTTAATTTGATTAAAATACATCACAGTCACCTCATCAACTTTGTGTTGCTTTTACTTATTTTCATAGGATCAAAGACAGGTTCAAAAACTTTTCATTTGGTTTGTAATTGCCTTGACTAGAGAAGCATTAGTTTAAATAATAAAAGTGTAAAACTGTCAAAATGTTTAGATATTAAGAGACAACAATTTCTGCTAAAGATGAGACTTAATGAAACCAAAATGACCTCTGAAAAACATGTGCATGCCATGTGGTGAAGTAAAACCCTGTTGGTTATTGTCTCATGGTGACACTGATTTATATTTAAAGGCAAACATGTTTTATATTTTAGAGAATGATATTTAGAGAAACTAAAACAAAAGAAAAGCTGCAATAAGATGAACTAAAACCAACATGTAGATATGTTTAAATCGTAAAAAAAAAGTAAAAATAGCAGCTTGAGTCACTGTTAAAAGGTATTTCATCATGAAGCCGATGCTCTGATGTGCTTTGCACACTTTTCTCACATAATATTCAGTATCTGAGCGAAAAGGCYCCACCTGTTTGACGGCTTTAATCTCTCTGGTGTCGCTGGCGTTTACTTCATGAACTGGGAAAAGTGCTCCATTCAGTTTGTCCTGCCTCCTGTGCCGAGCTGATGCAAAGTACATGCAACTTCCCCGCCCCAAAC